TGACGGTTGTGAGGAAGAAGGTAAGCTCCTGGGTGTGACAATTGATAGCCAATTAAAATTTAAAAGCCGTATTTAAAACATATGCAGAAAAGTAGCAAGACAACTTAATGTATTGAAACGGTATCTAAATACCTTATCAAACTAGGCAAATTCACCATTTATTATTCTTTTATTCTGAGTAATTTTAATTACTGTCCTGTTGCATGACATTTTTGTGGGAAAAATAACACAAGAAAAATACAATTTTAAAAAACGAAAGCATTGCTTATCTGTCTGATCTATTCACTTATAAAGAAACATGTTCTAAGAAAAGTAATACAGTACAGGTACCTAAGGTAAGAACTGCTAAATATCGTATACACTCTTTTAGAAATGCAGGAGTCAAACTCTGGAATGAACTCCCAATCTACAATAAATCACTTTAAAAGTATTATTAATAACTGGAATGGAGATTCCTGTAAACGAGTCTTCTGCAGATTTTAAATCTAAGTTTCATATTCAGTTACTTTTCTTTTAGTTTTCAAGTTTGCAATGTTCTGTTTTTATGTTCAGTATGTTTGTTCATTTTAATGAGTAAATTTGCCATAAATTTACAATATTATAAAGTATATCTTTTAATTAAGCTAAAGTGCTTTTTCATCTTTTATACAATAATATAAGATTATAAATTATCCTTAGTAGAGTATGTGCCATATTGACCTTTCATTCTTATTTATCATGATGTATTGTCCAATGTAAATGCATGCTATATATTTTGTCTCTTTCTCTGTGTGTAAATTATGTCTGTTGTGCTGCGTGCCATTATAGTTTTAACTATGTTTATATGTGTATATTGTCATATATGTATTTTACGTATATATCTTACTAATCATGTCGGTCAAAAGCTCTAAAGGGCTTATGTTATTTGTTTGAAATTCCGGCTTAAAATAAAAATTTCTGTGTCTGATTCTGATGACTCCTGGAAACTCAGAAGTAAAGGAAAGGATTTTAAATATATTATGCAATTTCAATAATGATCAACTCTCCCTAAATCTTAAGCCTTAAAGTTAGAGTACATGAATCTTTTAATAAGATAAGAGTTCATTGGTAATCGCAAACATGTACCATGGTAAAGAAGACAATGAACTGCATAATCAGGTATTTTAAATATATGATCATCCCTGCCTACCCTGGGATTGGAAAAACAGAATTTAAACATTTTGGTGAAAGACACTCACGAGCTATCAAAATCATACCCACTTTTTGACTGCTTAATGCCAAAACACAAAAATGCGTTATTGTGGGATTTTGGCTGAAACCCTTAGTTTAACGGAGAGGGGGACCATATTTTTTTTTATATGATTCTTTCTAATTATATGCTGCATATCAAATTTTTGAAACTGGGTATTCTATTCAAAATACAGTATAAAAATGTTCAACATTTCACGACGAATGCACGACGGACGACCACAAATGAAAACAGATAGCAATAGGTCACATGAGTGACTTAGTCTACTTGAAGATAACTCTTTTAGGTCAATACATGTACCATTAAAGTATAAAAATGTTCAGCATTTCACGACGAATGCACGACGGACGACCACAAATGAAAACAGATAGCAATAGGTCACATGAGTGACTTAGTCTACTTGAATATAACTCTTTAAGGTCAATACATGTATCATTGCTTCTGTGGATCAAAATGGAATTTAATGTCAACTATGTGGACTATGCAAAAAGAAAGAGCTTTTCAATTACTTTTGTTTTCTAAGTGTATGCCCATTGTATCATCAAAGGTTTCTCCAAAGTACTGGTAGTAAAATATTCTACAGATCCCTCAAACGTGCCAGTCCCCAGAAACAGTTGTCGTTCGTCCCGAAATAAGAGAGCCTCGAAGAAGATTCCAACGCCCAGTACAAAAAATGCAATCGTGATCAAGAATCGCTTGACATTAAAAAGCTGAAAAGATAAGTTTTTTTTTTAAATTTCAACGTAAGTCCGACATATCATTTTTCAATTTGTTTATTAAATTGACCTTTTCTGTACTTTAAATTATCTTAGTGAAAAAAGATTTCCATAAAATCATACTATCTTTCTCAAAGAATAGACATGGGTATCACTTTTTTCGAATACCATGAGGTCATAGGGGACATTAAAGTTACTTATGAGTCCCTCCTACTTATGTTTTACCTAATAAGTACTTTAAATATAAATTTGAAAAAGGTAGACATTCTATGATTTCATTTTTTTTTCTTTGTTTGCCATCACCTCATCACCTTCATCAATCTTTTTTTTAAAAAAAAACTTTTAGAGTACTATAGAGAAAATTGGAAAGATAAAAAATAATTTGCGGAGATATATTCATTTTACTCGTTTAAACATGTATTTCCTTATGTTTATTATTTAAAAAAAAAAGTTGTTTTTATCATCTGTTCTTCAATATTTATCAAATCAACATTTGAGGGAGACAAACAGTGGGTACCATGTTTAATGAAAACACAAATTCTTTAACCAGGTAAGATTTACAATACACATACATAGAAAATATATTTCAAACAGAAAGATTTTAAGATATTTTTGCAGCTGGATTCCTGGAACTCTTAACCAGGAAGCATTAATCACATTTAATGAAAGCAAATGTCTTCAAAATTCTTGAAGTCTTTCGACTAGAAGAAGCTCTAAAGTTGAAAGTGCCTATTGATAGCCAGGGGTACAATTACTATAACTGCTCTTCCAAAGTGTTGGGTTCATGAATTCATGAATTTGAATTTTTGAAGATGGCTCTCTGTCAATCACAGAAATATAAACAACAAGTGTCTTAACCCATGTTTTCAAAATAGTCTTTTAGTCTGAGAACCACTGTATAATATACAATGAGGAATTCGTTATAATGCTTTTAGGTCAAATGATTATCAAACTTGTGTTACAATTCCGCTCAGATTTTGAGTGCCCGTTTCAGAGAAGAAACAATAATAATCATAGAAACAAACTTGAACAAGAGCCCTGGGGGTCCGTTTCACAACAACATTGTAATTTACAAATAAAGTCAGTAAGTTAAGCTTTTCTAACACCTTGTCTACCCTATATAAGTTAAGCTTTTCTAACACCTTGTCTACCCGATATGTTTGATAAAATTACTGTCTAAAATGTCTTTGGATTCTGAAAATATTATATCATATTCCTTTTTCACATTTATGTAAAGACGAAACTAGTTTGCAAAAAACATATTTTTGTCTTAAATGTAAATTTCTTGTGTGTCATGTCAAAACTTAAACACTAAAAATACTGAATACCAGTAATTACAAAATTTTTATTTGAAGAGATATTAATATAAAAAGAAATAAAATGAAAGTTCGAAACAAAGATAAAAAAAAACAACAGTAAACATGATGATGTATATATTATTATATTTTTTTTTAAATTGGTGATGAAATAATGGACATTTCGAAACATCCATTTACAAATGCGTGAAATACAAAGTAGAATTAAAATTCCTATAAATATTGTCAGCGCTATCAATAGAGTTTTTTTTTCTCGAAAAGAAAAACAACCACATAATTAATTGTCAAAATAATCAAGTACCATTAAATATAAGTACATGTTTTAAAGATAATCCTGCATTTGTATGATCCCGTATTTATGACAGTGTATTACAGAAAGTTGATAAATCTAAATATTCATAATGAACAAGACAGAATGTCTATCCTTAATAACTTTTATAAGTATGTACTTCTGTAAAAATATGACAAATCATGAAGTGTCGACTTGATATATCCCAATTATCTTGAGATAAAAGACATCACAAAGTCTACCACATAAGTTTTATATTTGGATTTTTTTTTACTGATTATAGCTATAGCTCAAAGGCAAAATAAATTGTATAACAAACATGACTTCAGCTTCTCCATCTTCCACTTTCCTTATTTATATAGTAACATCCCATGGTCACCTGCATATGGTGCTTAAAACTCCCAAGTTATTCGATACCCACGAGCATGCTCCGAGTACGATTAAATTTTTTACAGATAAGTTGTTGTTCCACAACATTGTTTAAAGTCAGCATTTCGTAAATTCTGTGGTCGTTATAATGACCTTGTTAGCCAATATAACCTGTCATTAGGCCGTATGTTGGCTGACTTGTTCCTACCAATTGTTAGACCTTTGTTGACTACGGAATGTACCGTCTATTTGATCTATTCATGGCGGGTGTGACCGGTCAACAAGGGATAAATACTCCTTTAGGCACCTGATCCCACCTCTGGAATCTCTAGATGTCCATGTTTTATGAATGCTCACAAATTTGTGTTGTTAATAGATCGATTATTGTTCATTGTCTTCACCTCGTTGTTTTACATCTCCACTATATTAAGGACATACGCCACGTACCTTACCTACTGAAAAATCTCTGCATTTAAGGACATACGCAACGTACCTTACCTACTGATAAATCTCTGCATTTAAGGGCATACGCCACGTATCTTACCTACTGATAAATCTCTGCATTTAAGGGCATACGCCACGTATCTTACCTACTGATAAATCTCTGCATTTAAGGACATACGCAACGTACCTTACCTACTGATAAATTTTCAAGATATTCTGAATTTAATATTATAGTGCCATCAGATATTCGTAGACGAAAAATCAGCATGCATTACCAGGGGTTTTGAAAAGATATCAATTGATGAAAATTCTTGTATAATTCAAAGAAAAATAAACAAAAATTACTAAACATATATTCTAGATGTTTTGTTTATCCAAATATGTTTTAGAAGAAATGTACAACAGCATATATAGACATTAAAATGTAGCACACAGTTCCTTTAAGTATTGGAACTCTTCAACTCCAGGGAAAAAGACAATAAAGTTCAAACTACGTTGTGTATGTGCTTTAAAACTCTAAAATTCATCAACAAGAAGAATGTTGACCAATTGTTAGATTGACAAACTATTGATACAAGAAGCTTAAATGTTTTGATGATTAACAAAAATACTTCTTTAATCATTCCCTAATCAATCATGACAGAGCAACAAAAAAAAAATCTTCAATCACAAATGCATAAAATTATTTGTTGAAAGGAGAAATATACTTATGTTCCATAAAATTATGTACATGTTCAAGACAACTGTTATACAGATTAAAAAATGAACCTGTCACAGAGACATAGGTCTATTGGTTTGAATGTTATGTGTTGGTCATTCTCATTTCTCCAGGGATCTCCCAGCCATGATATACTGAAGAACCTGGCGTTCGCGCTCACGTTTCAATTCCTTTTCCACATAAGAATCTAAAAATTAAGAATTCAAATGAATGGCAAAGAAAATTTAACGCATCTACATTATTTGAGATCATAAATTTTATAATATTAAATTACATTCGTGTCTCCTAGTGCAGTGTTTCATTAGGGGAAATGGATTGATGAAATGAAGGTTTCCAAATGCCCTGTGTCTGAAGTCCTGAATCACGTGGTACCTTTCATACTGCCAAATGAGTCCAGATTTCTGAAGAACTTTTTCATACGTTGTCCTGATTTGAGAATTAAATTGAAAAAAAATTGAAAATTTGAACATTTTCTGATTATGAAAGTAAATGTGTTCACATTATCTACATGAAAAGTTAGGGCTCGTTACAGGAAACTATATAAAAGGATAAGGATGGATTAGTTTTAAAAGAATTTTTAGAAGTTTTTAAAATTCTCATCAAAATACTCACGTAAAAAGGGCGATAATTAAGTTCACGATGAGAAGATTTCCCACCATCATATGTATTGCCAAAACGGCTTTCACGCTCCAATCAACTTCTGACATAAATCAAAGTTCCTTTTTTAATATATGTGAAGTATACATATATTTTGTTTCTATCCTTGCATGCAGCATTCTTTTTTCATTTTGCAAAGCATCAATCCAAGTAAACGTAATACACTATATCGAAAATATAGAAATAAACGTAATAAAAGGATGAATGGGGGATCTTATGTTCCGACACTGAACACAAATGCTCGTTTTAACATTCAAAACTTTGAATTTGGACTTATATTTTAAACTCTTAAGAATTTCTGTTATAATTACAATTTAAAAATACATATGCTATAGTAACCGTAGATGGCTTCAAAATTTCCTTCAAATGTTTATTAATCACTTACTGTAAACAGTTATAACGGTTTAACAAAATAGTACAATTTCTTTTTGGTAGAATTTAATAATACAAGAGACATATTCAGGAGAAGTCAATGAAGAAGTAATCCAGTAAATTCTCTTGATCGGATAAATATCTTTGTATGACATGGAAAATACAAAGTGGAAAGAAAAAGAGCAAATAAAATTAACAAGGCAGACATAAAATATGCATATAAGAAGAGAAATATCCGATAAAACTACCTTCGTTGCGTTTGTCTATGCCGAGAAAATCATCGAACACTTCTCCATAATACTGGTAGTATGGATAATATATGATTCGCCAGACCCGCCACTCATACCATTTCCCAGGGAACAGATCTTGCTCGTTCCGATGCACCAGAGCCTCAATGAAAATTCCTACCCCCAGCACAAAGAACGCAATTGTAATTAAGAACCGCATCAGATTAAGGAGCTGAAAATATAGATTCTTATGAATGCACATCAAGAATTTGGATATATTCAATGTATTGTAAATCCTTATGTCAAATGTCCCTCATGAAATGTTTTACAACTATGCTATGCATATTTAAAAATATATATATATTTTAAAAAAAAAACAGTGTATTTATCAGTTTTCAAGGTAATAAATTGATCCTTCTTTTATCTTCGTCACCTTTATTCTGGTTCTTTCATTTGTTAAGTATCATCTATTTTTCTGTCACTAAGTAATGCATGTAAATAATTATATCTTCCATCACAATAAAATTGGATGAAATTAGGAGTAAATTGCGTAGGGATGTGCGATTTTATCGGTATACCGGTATATCGTGAATTTTAATTGCGTGATGCGTATCGTGATACGGAGAATAAGATACAGGTATTTAGGTACATAGGTATAAATTCCAGAAATTATTCATTTATTTGTCCAATCTTTTGAATTACAATTACAGGAAGTGAATAATTGTTGAAAACGGTAAAAGAATGGCATTCTACATTGTAGCATCCAAAATTGCTTGATATTTTGTAAATAAAAAAGTGAAGTTTTTCCAGCATATTTTTCGAAAAAATTATGAACATTTATTTTTTCAAAATCATTGTAAAAATTGCTTGTAAAAATATCATGATATTATCGTGATATTTTGGGGAAAATCGTGTTATATCGCGATACGGAATTTTTGGCGATACCCATCCCTAAAATTGCGCCAGAGCTAAAGGGTCAAATCAATAACTGTGTTTTTATGGGCGTCTCTTTGTTTAGGATTATGCAAGGGTTGTTTGGTAAAATGGTAAACAAATCGTCCAAAGTTAGAAAAGAAATATGGTCTTTAACAGAAGTTTTTAATACGCGATATTTTTTAATTCTAAATTTGCATTTCTTCACCGGCAAGCGGTGGGGTCTAAATATGAGGAAAAAATTCTCGAAGGTAGGTCAAACAAACAAGCAAAAATATTTTAACAAGGATTTCCAAGCGAGTTTTCAACTGGGATTAGTTCACAAACGGAATCGTTGGTTTTTCATAAAAACGTTAAAGGACTTATCGCATGATTTTTCAGAAATCTTAATTTTATGAAAAATATTATCTACAACCTTGTTTATTAAAATTCTGAATACAATAAAAAGCATATTTTAAGAGATATTGAGAGTTGAAATTCAAATACGGCAATATGCATATTTCAGTCGGATTTCGGCGAAATACTGCTCTGACGTCATAGGCGACAATTCAGTGATAGAGAGATGAGAAGTTGCACACTATTTACGGAGTTATCAACGACAAATGCAGCTTAATTATGAAAAATGCTCAAAAAATTAATTCCTAACGTGATTTTCAATTACTATAGAAACATTAACTAGTTCTAACGTATAAGAATTTTGAGATATTTTCGTTTTTTATTCCAAACATTTAGAATCTGTAGCTCTGATTACGGCAATGTTTCGTGATCGGAAAATTATTTTTCAAGACCGCCATCCTTTACAAAACATATGAAGGCATACTTGCATAAATTAATATTATGTTAAAAACGAAGAATAACAAAGTTGTATAATATTAAATTTGTGAATCAGATAAGTTAATACATGTGATAAAATGACAAATGAAATTGTATTGTGATGGGGAGTTTCTTCGTCTTCGCCGTGTCTCCTTCGCTATCGTCACTGCTATTTTTACAATGTTAACGGATTTTTCAGATTATTTCTTGCTGACAATTCTAAAATATAAGGTTGGATACTAAATTTCATATCGATAAAATCAGAGATTTGACCGTCCATATCGCAGAAAATTCAGGTTGTATTGCGTATATTTTAGTAAGATTTACGTGAAAGCTGATCAGCCATTGTCGCCTTTGACGTCACAGGGTCACGTGATCGCTATCTATTTAACTTCGATTTTTAATTCAGGGGTTTTCATTTGAGTCAATAATTGATTAATTACCGTAGTTTATCCGCAGTAAAAACACAAAATTTATAAACTGTAGTCATAAGGAACGTTTTACGCTTTTAATTTCAAATAATTTAGAAACATGCGATAAGTCCTTTAATACCGCTTTTAGTTTTGTAAGTTTTCGGGTCATCCGAAAGTTTTGTTTTCCATTGGTCGTATTTTGGTTGTCATGTTTAGTATCAATTTCAATGCCGTTGTTCAATACTAAATTTAAAAGAGAACTGCTTTTAGCCTGGTCCATAGAGAGGGCTCACAGTGGTTTTACTGGAAAACAGGGGAATAATAACTCCTTTTAGCCTAGTCAATATAGAGGGCTCACAGAGGTATTACCTGTAAATAGAGAGGGCTCACAGTGGTATTACCGGTAAATAGAGAGGGCTCACAGTGGTATTACCGGTAAATACAGAGGGCTTACAGTGGTATTACAGGTAAATACAGAGGGCTTACAGTGGTATTACCGGTAAATACCGAGGGCTCACAGTGGTATTACTGGTACATACAGAGGGCTCACAGTGGTATTACTGGTAAATACAGAAGGCTCACTGTGGTATTACCGGTAAATACAGAGGGCTCAAAGTGATATTACCTGTAAACAGGGCAATGATGACTCCTCCAAAGCACATATGAACCCATCTCTGTTGTTTTAAGTTGCATATGTATTTGCTCTTATCACCTTCCATATTGTTTAAATGATTTATGATATCAATCATTATATTATATTACAAATATCTTAAGACAAAATTGATGTTATAAAATGGTTATAAAGCTTTTGAAGAAAAAAAGTATTCCTCAACTTTACCAACCATATGTTTTAGGAAAACGAAGGTAATTCCCGTGTATCGGTGAATGACGAACACACGCATGTACCGAAGATACGAGAACAGCAGTAAAAGTGCTGAGAAGCGAGTGGCCATTGTGAAAGTCTCAGTTGATTTCAGCCTTGATGACACAGTGAAGAAGACAAGGATGGCACAAACGAACCCCAAAGCCTTCCACATGTCATTTAATCGAGAGCAAAATCTATATAAGCATTTTCTCATGGTTTCCTTTCTTCTGCCAAAAAACCCCTGAAATATGAAAAGTATATTGTGTCGGTCATACACTTCATTCAATGAAAACCTCCTTAACTTCTTATCTAAAATGAAGGAATTGATACTCAGTTAAAAGGAAAATAAAATGATGAACATACATGTCTAAACGTAAACAAAATGGATAAGATGTGAAGGGGAAAGATAACGAACAGTGATCGATCTCCAAAGATCCACAAACAATACAAATATGTGAAAAGTTCATAACACACAGAGCCCCTGGAAATTCCAGAGGTTGGATCAGGTACCTAGGAGGAGTAACTATCCCCTGTTGACCGGTCACACCCGCCGTGATCCCTATGTATTGTTCAGGTAGACGGAACTATCCGTAGTCAATTCAGTATAAAAACAAAGGCCTAACAATTGGTATGAAACAAG